TCGAACTAGTACAAAATTAAACCGTCCCTCTTGTTTAACGTAGGGTGTAAATCGCTTTGATTACCTTAACTGTAACTAAAAACTTGATATATATTGATAACGATCGATACACGTTATAGCTAAAGTGCATACTAGTTTTTCCATAACAAATCATTTATTATTCACATATCAGAGTAAGAAGGAACCGTTACGTCATGAAACGGAACTATATCAAGAATTGTTCATAAATTTGTCATTTTTGATGTTTTTATAGTTTTTTTATGAAAGGAAAGTGATGCCTAATAGTTAGAATGAGTTATTTTATTGTCTTTAAAGTGAACGTACACCGGTGCCGAATATGTATTTTTGTACCCATTACCGAAGGACGAGAGGTAAATTCGTTTTATCAAAACCTTTGCAACACCCAGAAGGAAGCTTCAGATACCCTACAAAGTCTATACATTCTTAATCAGCGTAAAATTCCGAATTGATTTAAACTTGTATAAATTGTTTGGCCGCAAAACTGAAGCGATCGACTTCAAAATTTGACAGAAACATTTTAAGTTATTGCGTGCAGGTGTGTATTGAGAACAAGCCCAACCAGTTGAAGGACATGCTTGCAGTACTTCTTACTCATATGCAATACAACTTCTCACCACAACCACCTAACGAAAAAAGAATGAATTTCTTTCACACAAAAACAAGGCATAATCAATTCAGAATTTCACGTTGATTAAGAATATGTATGCTTTATAGGATATCTGAAGTTTTTTTTACTTACATTATGAAACAAAACAAAACAAGTGTACCCCCATCCCACACTTGCTTTCTTTCTAAAAGGTTCGACATGTAAAAGGTACAGAACAAAAGGTTGTCATTTCATATTTCTGTTGGAACCGTCTTTGGGTCGACACTATTCGCGCTTTCCTATGCATGAAGTAGTCAAAATGTGTTGTTTTTATATATGAAACATTATTACAGAAATAAGGGACTGTGGTTCTAACATTTTTTGTTCAGCGTTTGTATTTATTAAAAAAGCTTTGAATTATAATTTCAGAAAATAAAGAATGTGCGTACAAATATATTTATTTTAACGCCCTAAAAATCGGACAGAGGTGACGAGGTCTTCTCTAAAGGACAGAGTTTACCCTCGTTAGTATCAGCTCATTTTCCATCCTTTATCACTGTAGCCGTTGCTAAATGAATGCGGTATTCTTACGAACTTTTTAAGCTTAAATTGAAAATTGGCTCAGAGGCGTAACCACACACTGGAACACAATGTTTACTACTCGAATGATAGGTCGACCTATTGCCTCACCCTCCTCAGAAAAATTTGTATATTGCACATCAGGTGATAAAATTAATATGTATCCCTATTGGAATGAGGGGTCCATTTCTGAGATTTTTTCCTTTTTTTTTTGTTTTCCTATATGACCAGCTAGACAAGATATATCCCTGCATATGCAGGCATGTTGTAAGCTAGCATGATTTATTGGTAAAGAGGGAGGGAACAAGGTAGCAGCGTTTGAATAGATAGACTTAAAAGTGGAGGTGTCAGGAACGTTGGGAAAAACCAATGGTAGTAGGTTGTTCCAAAGGCGGGCAATGCAATTAGAGAACAACGTGTCGCGGAAGTGTATCGTGCTCGTGGTATATGGGAAACTCCAGAACTTAAATAAGCACACAATCCACATTACACCGGCGCTCATAAGTATCGAAGTTTGTACACATTGTTTCGTCGCCTATGAGCTCCTAAGCCTTTCGCTGAATACAGTCAAGCAGGGAAGATTTGGGAGCCCCAATACATTCAGTTGTATTTTAATTTTGGTTTGATGTAGGCGGTGGAAAGGGTTTGTTAAAGCTGTTAAAAAAATGAATATAGTGCACCAATAGCCTTGATGCACCTTCTTACCCCCAACAATTTCAAAAAAATTGACCTTGTTGCTCAGTTTGACTGGCTGTCAATCTTCCAAGCCAACGTTCACGGTCGCAAAGTAAGGAACTAAGCACGCAAACATTTATTTGGCACAAATCAGGTGAAAAAAGTCGCGATTTACCAACAAACATATCTTACTTTTATTTATTTTTCGTTGTAGGACGCTACTAGCAATATATGCGGAGTTGCGCTTTTCGGCGAAAAAAAAAGAAATATATCAACTAAGTTGAGAGACCAAGTGGTACTTGAATCAGATTTTAGTTTATCTAATTTCCTGTTTATATCCTACAACGCTGGTGGTACTACGGCATATTAAGTTTGTGTGTAGCTATATAACATTCAGGGGCACTTTTATTATATCGTCCCAAGCTTGCCCCTCGATCTGTCCGTGTTTCCGTCTCGTATTATTTTCTTCAACTGGAAAGGTTCTGATCGGACCACTTTTTCGATCCAATGACACCTTATTCTGACAAGTCGTTTTAGGATTAACTTTATTAATCAACGTAGTGTAGGATGTTTGATAGTTTCACGTGTTTCAAGAGTATTTGGTTAGCAAGCGCTTTCATCGCGAAGCAACGATAGATTTTGCAAAATGTGTAGACGTAATTGATGAAAGGAAAGCTCCAAATATTCCTTAAAAGTAGAAATATATTTGAATATTACTAAGTCGTACAGACAAAGTCAAATGCTGCCTGAGTTTTACGAGAGTTCGTCATGTCAAAGCTTGAAAAATTGAAAAAAGAAACAAGTTACAGCGCTACAGCCGGCAAGGCCGGATATTCATTCCTAAAAAGCTTCGGCTACTACTCTACACCAACCTTGTCACAACATGCAGGAATGCAAATATCCTTAACTCATTAATAAAATGCTATGAAAGCGGTAGTTCCAAGACCAATCTTATGAAACGGATCGTACGCTCTTCTACTTTCAATTAATGAATTTCATCTAAGGGCGTTAATCCCTTCTACGGGGAGAAGTTGCTTACATTAATAGCTGGTAGAACGTGTATTTAAATATCTGTGAGCATATATATATATACAAATATATATATATGTATAATATAAGTATATATATAATATAAGTATGTAACTATGAATTTGGTGTCAACATTCATTTTTTTGATATATACCAATTGGATTTTTAACACTTTTTTCCGCTTTTCATTAAATAAAATTTTGTCAATAAAAATTTAGCGTCTTTATCAAATAGAACAGCTTATGGGCTCGTCAATATTTTAACGGAATTCCACAATTTAATGATGTGGAATTTGATGAATGGCAGCTTAAAGTAAACGTGCATTTGCGTTTACTGTGGTTGGTACTTATCGGTAGTCCACCAGAGGATAGTGCGGCGAAACAGAAGGCTTTGAAGAAAGACAGAGAGAGGAAAGCAAAAGAACTAAATACATCGACATTCGATATTATTACGTAAGAGGTAACATATCTTTCGGCAATAATGATCTTGAACCTATACAAACTGGAAACCAATTGGCTGACATGTTTACCAGGCCAATTGAATAGATATGTGCTTAAATATTTCTATTATATGTTTACTATATAAATACACATGTACGTATCCCTATGCATTTGCTGTCAAATTCAATTTTTGATTATTCTGTATGCACCAACTGGATTTTCAACACGTTTTTCTGTTCATCATTAAATAAAATTAAATAAATAATTTAATAAAAAATTGTGTGTGAAGAGCTTGCAGATCAAACTGAGTTCATAAATCTATTGCATTTCCCACGTCTGGCTCCAGAGTTTGCGACAAGCTGCTGCTCTTTAAACAGTCCTGCAAGCACTCTAACCGCAGGAAAATATTTCAGGTGAAAGTGTAGGCTATTGACTTATCTTAGAAGAATTTCTTCTTTCACTCATAAATGCTTGCACTGTATGTGAACAAAGAATAGTAATTGGAAGAACTGTTGCTATGTCTGGACATTGAATGAGTTTTAGAGATTACTCTAATTGTTCCAAATGTAGAAAAAATCCAGCCGAACATCGAATATGGTTAGGGCTCAGTAATATTGAAAATCATACTGTCCATTTTAATTGTTCTTAGATAATTTTGGTCACAAACTTAACTTTAACTTGCGGTATTTCTGCTAAGATATGTCTTATGCTGCGGAAATTATATAACCTGAAACCACGTTTGCCAGTTTAAGTTAAATGTACAATTGCGCATGCTCTTCTTTTGTCGCATGTTGAGCTGTATTGAAGTTATCTCTGACTATTCGCCTAATAATCTGGAAAGACTTAAATTAATTGTCAACCGCATTACACATTTTGTCTCTAATGCGTGACCAAATTTCCTCTTTCGTTCATGCTTTTTGCAAATTCTCTTTCTATGACTGCTTGAAATTTAGGCTGTTCATCTACCTCTACAAAATTGTTAGTGATAAGCGCCGAATCTTCTAATTGAACGATTACGTTTTTCTAGGTAGAGTAGGAATGCGTTACTGCTGACTTTGAGAATTTTTGCTGGCTCTTCTAAGAGGAAATTGGACTCTTTCTTCAAACGCCTAATTCGTCCTACACCAATAATTGACGATTACAAAGCTTAGCCATAGAGCCGGCCGATTATTTTAGTGGTCTTTAATCCTTTCTACGCACATGATTTATACGAATTGAATGTTGGCGAAATTTGCATTGTTGATACGGTCCGTACCACTGGATAATGGATTTTTTTTATTTACAATTAATTTGGGGGTGACATCGAACATGGTCCGAATCAAACTGTTTTTAATAGGGCCCGCAACTAGTCCAAAACACGTCAGTATACCGAATTTCTCAAAAATTACGACTTGAAGGACTCGGTCACCAGCCCGACAAAGTATTTAAATCAATTCAGAAAAATGTGGGTACCTTCTGAAGTGCTTCTGGGTATATACTTAATACACACTATATCGTAAGCGTAAAAATGTAAAATTAAAGGTATGATACCTTACGATCGTTATTGAAAAGACAACAACAACAGAAACCAAGGCAAAGAGATTGCATTGCATTATTTACATTATTCGCACTAAAGCATATTTATTTGCTTCAAGGTCTCTTGACAAATATTATTATATACTATGTGCAGTGTTACGAAATAAAAACGTGTAAGCTTGCGAATACAATTCGAAATTATTTATTAAAAACATACATGCTGGTCTATCTTCTTAATAATTTTGAGTTTTTAACTGTTCTTTTCGTGGCTTTCGAGTCTGAATTGGTAATGACGCTTTTGAATTTGGGATCTATTAAGGATCTTTTTGCAACATTTTCCACTTTGTTTCCATTTATATTTGTTGTTACCACATTCGAAGCTCTAGCGGAATTTTCGACCGAATTTATAGTTTTGTTTAAACTGTTCACATTGGTTGCGTTCGTGTTCTGAAGTTTTTCATTGCCCGCTGTGAATTCCGCATCAACTTTGTTTTCCCAAAGTTCTTCGTCTCCAACAACACTTTCCTCCCTAGCCGATTTTATTGCGTAGCAGTAATAATTCATACCATTCAAAAATATTCCAATTTGAAAGGAAGTGATTGTACTCCTCGAACACCACTTTAATTTAAATTTCTCGCGTAAATAAATCAAAGGATAATTACTTTAATATTGCTTACCGTAGAAAATCTTTTGACTTCGTGTGCACCTAACAATGCGACTATGAAAACTGCCATTGGGACTTGATTGTTTGCCATGACTTTCAACCTTTTCGTTGTAAAAAGAATTTTTAATAAACTAAAAAATAAAATTCTCTTCCATTTTTATAGCCTTCTATTCTTATATTAGTGAAAATAATCTTTTAAAAATCATTTATAATAATGAACGCAGCAGATGTACATTCGATGTAAAAATTTTAATTATTACATTTGAATGGTATCAAGAGTTAAAAACGATATCGAGTTTGTGGGAAAGCACCCTACCTAGTCGATTAGGAATAAAATTTCATTACTCTTTATTAGTTATCTCAAAAACAATCTGTTACAAGTGTACATAGTAGTGCTCATTTATCGATACGTAAAGCTCCTTAATATTTAGAAGAAAATATGTAAGTTTTCTGTTCTAAAGAATGGTTAAAAAAATAATTAAGTAAAATTTCCTGGGCATCTATTCTTATGATCTAAGAAGACAATTTATCTACTCAGAAATCAATAACTTAGAGTGCAAAAATATAATTGAAAGCAATACACTTTGATGTAGTACTTGCTCTAATTTCTATTCCTTAATGCTTCATACGATTCGCTGAAAAACTTAAAATTATTATTACTATTGATTCCCAAGCTTTTTGCATAGTTACGTCGGTTTATTAGCACACTCCCAGTTCACATTCACATTTGTTGCGAACGTGCTTGTGCAACAAATCTGTAGATCCCCTTTTCTTTTCTTTTTTTTTCTCTTATTTGTTTATTTTATCCTTTTGGTCATTTTGTACTTACATCGTACGCTTTATACAAGTTAATTCTAAATATTTATTATACAATTTATTTAAGAAGAACAATATCACTCAATTCGTCAATCATAAAAATAAGTATACAAATAAGTTGCTTTAAGTGTAGCTAAAAGCTTGGTATGAATTGATAACGATCGATGCTTATTTGCGCACGTGAAAACCAGGTTTCGTAGCAGCGTTTCCATAGCGAATTAAACATATTAAAAGCATTGCTTATTAAAGTACCAAACTTTCCCTTCGGCGTCGAAAGTCGCCGTACATACGCTTTGTTATTCCAAGACAGAACTACATCATGGGTGATCCACCAATTTGACATTCGCGTAGTATATTTCTTATGTTTAAGAAAACATGTTACTGCCTAATAATTAAAATGAGTTATTTTATGATCTTCTAGAGCGAAGATTATTCTCTCCAATTTCCCCAAACAAAAGATAAATAGTTTTTTCGAACTGCTTGAAGAGTCTACGCGTAGATGGTCCTAATTAATGCAGCTTATGTGTATTCAATGCAAAAAATTCAATTATTACATTTTAGTAGCATTACGAATTAAAGGTACTGTGGATCTTTCACGTACTCTATATGTAGTCAAGTGATATTACCATTTCCTTATTCTTTTATAGATATTTCATAAATAATCAATTATATCATGCTATTAATATAAATAGAGACGCCCAATTACAGATGTGCGAAGCCGAGAAATTTTCTATGCGAAGTTAACAAAAGTATAGAAGAACCTCCATACTTTTTCTGTTTGAAGATATAGTGAAAAACGTGTAAATCCATCCTCAGTTTACTTTCTACATTTATCTATTTTTATGTAGAGAAAAGATGTTTGCGCTTTATTTACTCGACGATCTCTAACTTGGAGTGAAATATGGAATTGAAAGAAGCATGCGTTTACATCGTTATAACTCTATTTTTTATCATTTAATGCTTCATATGATCCGATTATAAATATTATATATTTGCTAGTTTCGGTTACCAAGCTTTTTGTATTTTGCGTCGGTTTATTGGTACATTTTCAGTTCAGGGCAACAAAACCTCCGGGTGTACCTTGTGCTTTTTGCTCTTATTTGTTTATTTATATGTTAATTTTATCTCTTGGTTTTTTTTTTTTATTTACTATCTTTATAAAAGCCAAGCCCAAATGTTTTGTTAAAGATTTATTTTAGGACTCCTCTACTGCTCAAGGCGGTTGAATTTTATATTTAAATACATAAATTGCCTTGACTGTAACTAAAAGCTTGCCAAGAATTGATAAGAGTTGATACGCGCACGTTAAAAGCAAATTTTATGGCAGCTTTTCGATAATCAGCTCGATATATTAAAGACATAGACTGTGAATGCATTGATCTTCACTTTCGCTATCGAAGGTTGTTATTCCCACGCTTTTTTCTGCTGTGAGAGGAAGAATATCGTAAAACAGAATTATATTGTGGATGATTCATTAATTTGCCATTCGCGTTCGGTTTTTGTCATATATAAATATAAATAATGGTGCGCATTTATAGGTATGCACAGCCTATAAAAGCATATGTTTGCTGTTCTATATCACAAACAAAAATACAAAAGAAAGTCCACGCCTTTCCTCGTATTCGTTTTAAGAGATAATTATAGAGTTCTTCTTTTAGCTTTTAATATTTACTACATTGTTATAAAATTCTCTTTTCTAAGATAGTCCGTATCACTAGACCGCGGATATATTGTTCAAGAGAAGTACACTTCAGAGTTCTTTTATTTACAATTATATTCCTTAACAGCGGAATCATTTATTTACAATCATGTTCCTTAAATGTAGGATTATTCACAATTTATTTTTGCCGTACTCTCAACTTCTATGTTCTTGCCCGAATAATTCTCTCTTCCACAAATATTCTATTTATATACATTTTGACAAGCATGTTACTATACCTAAATTTATGGTTTTCTTTTTAATCCCAGCATGCTTTTCCTCCCATCGTTTTCATCGGCCTGCAGCTGCCTGAAGTGCCGGCGAATGTGCATTTGGTTTTTCCTTCTTTAGGGAATTTATTATTAGGGAAAATTACTTAGCTGAAATTACATGGATTTGGGATTTTTTACATACATTCAAAAAAAGGCGAGCCTAATACCTAAGTCGGCTGTTATTCCATTGTAGCTGAATTTCGTACGTAGCTAAATAAGTAAATTGGCTTGACTGTAAGTAACAACTTGATACGACTTGATAACGACGTTAAAACAAAATTTCATGACAGTTTCTCTTTAACCAGCTGCATATTAATAAAAGATAGGCTATCAATGGTCACTATCGGATGGCCTTCAGTTCAAACTACCTTCTCAAAGTTTTGGCGTATTTTCATATTGATGATCGATTTTCTCGAACAAAAGCAAGGTTGAAGTAACTAGAGGCAATCTTGTTGTAAAATGTTTCCAGGGTAATTGGATTTACAAATATAGTTTGCCCTAAAAAGATTATTTGCTATCCATGGAGCCAATTCGCATCGCGTTTCATTCAAGAATTAAATGTCAACATACGGTTTCATTAAAATCTGATGGGATAATCGAATAATACTTGAAAAGTTTGCTGCTATCCGTCGAGGTGTAAATGGTATGATCGCAACGCTTTTACACATTTGTATCAAACGCTTTTACACATTTGTCTATAAACAAAAAACGCGCTTCAGCTTTTTGTTTTAATTTTTAAACGCGTACGATAGTTAACAGCCGACGTGTAGCGGACTAAATTGGCTTAACGGTCTTTCCCATTCTTATGTTTAATTTGTTGATACTGTGAGGAATCAAAGCCAAACCGCGAAAACTAGTCTTAATATAAAACAACATTTCAACACAAATCTATTACTCATTTAACCACTCATCGTTATTCTAAATCGCATTGAAAATTCACACTTTAGTTATAGTGGGACTAAAATTAGAATACGCTTGCCATATAAAGCGATGCATGTTAAAATTTATTTCATAATCATTGTTCAGTTTTAAGCGAATAAAAATATTAACATGAAACTCTACTCCATATTAATAATTGCATTGGTCGGACTTGCTCTGTTCGCTGATCAGGGGCAGACTAAGGGTGGGCTTGGCAAAGTATTCGGAAAAGTCGCTGTGAGGACAAGAACGGAACCGATGTGAATATTATTTTATAAAATTTTTTTTTTCAAATAAAATTGTAGGGAAAAACCGTCAAGGCAGCCACTAAAGAAGGAATCAAGCAGGGATCGAACCTTATCGATGAGAGAAAGCAGCGGAGACAAAGTAATTAATAAGGGAGATATGGCGTCGCTATGATTAGGGCAACTAATAAACATTCGTTATAAATCAGAAATTTTTGCTCTAAGCATCATTAAATTATGCTTGTACGCTACTGTTTTTTTTATAAAAGTCCTCCTTATGGAGTGGTCAGTCAAGCTCTGAATACTGGAAAACCGCTTTTCAAATCTAGGAAAAATTACAAGCAGAAATAAGAGGATGATATTTTTAACATTTACGTATTTAACAGTTTACGGCTTTAAGAATTTGGCTCGTCAAGTTGAACAAAGTTTTGCAATTATAACCATAACTTTAAGGTACGATGTAAAAATAAATATATATATACATTGTGTAAATACATCAAAATATTTGAGAGAAAATGACAGACCTCTTGCAACATTTTATGTCTGCTCATATGAAACTGGGATCAGAATCTTAAGTCGGTTCAAGTGTATAGAAGTAAACTTATTGATTAAACCCTAACAGATTTTTTAATTTTTTATTATTAAACTGTTTGGTTCAGTTTGTCATTCAAACACGCCTATTTTCAGACGTTACTAGAGAAATAAACAGGAACACAATCTGTGAACTTCCAATAAAAATTTCCTCCTGTGTGAGAATTACGATTGAATAGATATTTGTTAATTGCATACCGTTCTACCGAAATGTATCCAAAGTTTCTAATGGCAACGAATGAGCTGATGAAAATTGTTTCGGAGGCTGAATATGAAGTGAACCCCACCAACTTAGTTAAATTTTTCCGAGAGCTTTGAAAAATTCTTATGCTGTCGAAAGAGGTTCCACGAAATAAATTAATCCGTCTTATAAAAAATTATTTTCTAGAATTCACGTACAACATCGCCTTGATAACAAGGTTACAAACTGAGATTTGTCTATTAAAAAGTAACCAGAGCAAGTTCACTGTGTTCGAATCACTTTACATATGATCCAAAAATTGATAACTTTGATCAACTTTAAAGGAATTGATGAAAAGCGTTTCATTTATTGAAAACACACTTCTCGCCTTCTAGTGATAGGGAACTTGGAAATTCTCAGCGGCTATAATGTTAAATATTATTAAAACTAGAGTGCAATGTTACTATGTTTCAAATACTGCCCTTAATCTTTATTTTTATTTATTTACTAGTATGTATACATAGCGCACATATATAACTCACATAATTTTCATTTTTGTATAAGTTCATCTAGAGAATACAAATTTGATGCTGATCAAAAATATATATACTTGATGGAACCTCTGAAACGTAATAAATTTACTCCCATTCGTTTTTTTTTTGGGGAGGGTACAAGGAGTACATAAGGAATTTGATAAAAAAAGATTAAGTTATAAACACAAGCTATAAACATCGCTTCGGTTATTGTAAGGAACGCTAACATTAATAGAAAAAAAGTTCCTCGAACCACATTGAAATTTTTGTCATTATATAAGATCTATGTATTCAGTTTACCTAAGAGGAAATTCTTAGATATAAAACTATGTTTCTTCAGCGAGAGTAAAGTTGCGAATAAATAACAATAGGAATAAATGAGTATCATAGGATCATATTCCCCAAGCCAGCAATGTTCTCAGTTAAAGTAGCAGAACGCTTTGACGTCATTAGTATACATTAATATATATGATGATTTATTTGTAGAAGAGAGATTAATATATAGGGCAAACAAAGCAAGCCCAAGGTGACTGATTTGATGGGAATTTCATCAGATTAGAACGAATTGAAGATTACCTTAAACGACGTACCATAAAGGAAAGATGATAACCAATTAGCTAAACATGAAGGAGAAAGAACCAAAGAAAGTTAGTAATAGCGTTGATCTGCCCTTTATAAATTCCCATTGACAAGAAAAAATGGTGGACTACGTGGTCGCTGCGAAAAGTGAAGTGGTGGTCAAATAGTGCTGTAAAAATATTTGAGCGATGTCTCCAAGATGTTTATTACTGCCTTTGTAATATTGGTAACTGAAACTAATATTCCCACAAACAGAAAATCTACTAATATCAAATAATGGTGTACTCAAGAGGGTAGTAGATAATTGTACTTCAACGAAAGTTGATCTTGTAGCGGCTTACCGTGACAATTAGTGACAATTATCCTAAGAATTCATAAATGATCATTTGTTTGGTAAGGATAAGAGGAGGAAAGTTTAAAATTAATAGAATGGTCATTAGGCATTCTAGAACCATCAAAGGACATAAACAAGTAAAATAAAATAACTTATCTTGTAGAGTTGACAAGTTAATAGATTCGCGTTGTATTATTTAAGCGAATATATTTTATCTTAAACAAGTATCTGTCTAAGTTGAGAGAATTTGCTTGTATCACAAGCAGAGACACATTTTTTGAATTTTCTAATTTAACTTGCACAAGTTATATGTACATTTAGCAAAAGTTTAAACATTAATTTACTTCCAATGTTTTGTGTAGGCAGATCATTTTGATCTCTTTTTTCATGAAATTTTCCCAGTTGCAAAAATGAAGATAGGAGATTGAAATTTCTAAACTTAGATAATTGATTTATTCTGCGCCGTCGATATTTACAATAGAGAAGAGACTCAAATGGAAAGAAAATTTGTCATAGATAAACGTGGGCAAAGGGCAGAAAAGAAGATACCATATATATTTAACGAGAAACTGATTGGAATATTAAATCCAAAGAGTAATTCTAACACAATTCCTTATCATTCAGCTATAAAAATAGATATGTATATACATATTCTATGATTCGGTCTGCTTTGATTCATAATCAACCATAATAACTTGTCCCGATTCTGTGGTTTGCCGTTAAAAAAAAGCATAAGCAATTTTCTATAAATTGCCTTTTTGCTAAATACTGCCGGTAGTCGCAAACATGAAAATCAACAATTTTGTAATATATTTATTAGTAAGTCTGATCCTTTTCGCGGGACGGGCTTTAAGCAAAAAGCCAGCAGCTGGAAGAACAGTTAAAAATAAAGCAATACAAACAGCTGTAAGCCGTGATTAAGTGAAATATTGTTTATTTCTCACTAACGATAATAAATGGTAACATTTATTGCTTAGGATACCACCATGAAGTCGGCAGCGAAAACTTTAGGTAAAGAAGCAATGGGGCGAGGCATGGACGCAGTTTTTGGTCACAGATGTTAAAATTGATAATGTAATATATATGAGCGGAGAAAATGTTTCTTTTAATAAAACTAAAGTCCAAAGAACTAAATGAATGGCTAACTTTTGATTGAAATTTCGAAAATTATTAACTATTAACAGGATAATCACCCAAGTGTAAAACGATGCAGAAGATAACTTTCAATTCTTATTTATTTATTTATTTATTTTTTTGTTAGATTGCTTAATTGATAAACTTTTTTCGATGTTTAAGTTTATTTCGGAAGGATTGAAGGGGCGAAATTATTGTTATGACGTACATTAATGCTGTAGCTAACACAAAAGCTGGTGTTATGCTTTCATCGACATATTTGAAAAAGAATTGCGTAAAATAACCCAAGAGAATGGTAGCAATACCCAATGAGAAGGTGATCATACCAAAAAAATTGTGACGATATTTAACTTCAGCCTTAGTATAAATTTTGTGTATAAATTTCGGTTGGAAATAATTTAAGAAACCACCACATAGACTGCTAAAGCACATAAACGCAGCTGATAAACCTAAAATGTTAAGTCATTATTAAGTAAAAAAAAAGAATAACTGACAAGAAAAGCAAATTCCTAAAATTATATTTACGTACCTATTTTACCATGCCACGTTGCAAAATGCACCTCTGTCGATCGAATTTTACCCACGACTCCCAGCAAAGCCATCGAACCACCAATCATTTGTAGAACGGCGTGATATCTGCATTTATTCCTATGAGATAAGCGATTTGTTAGGGGATTGTAGGGATAATGAGACATTAATGCTTCGGCACCTAAGACATGTATCTACGCATAGAAAAAAAATTTTTTTATGTATTATTATTATTATTATTAATTTCGCCAGAGAAATAAATTCTAAGACTAAACTCTTAAAAGCACTAGCATCTAAGGCTATCGGCTTTTATTAAAAACTCTACCGCCCTTGAGATTCGAACCCACGACCATTGACTTGCTAGTCGAGATTCCTCGCCTTCGGCTACTCAGGCGGAAATTTTTTATGTACACTTTATCTTTTGGTGAATACATAAGTTAGAAACGGCAGTCGACTTGATTCAACGATTTTAATAGGTACACTTGACCTATTCGGCAACTGATTATCATAATCATACATGCCTTAAAACATTTGAATTTTTCGACACAAGAAATTGAAATTATCTCTACAAAAAAAAATTTCTTTTAATATATCGAAAGTGAAGATGGTCAGTGGGGGTTTTGTGCCTATTGATCACTGGTCACTGATCTACTGATAAATATATAAAACAAAGTTTGTAAATCAAAGAATGTTGTAAATAGTGTAATTTTTGGCGTAATGTAGTGCGGATTATGGTTTGTTTTAGCTTATTTCAATTTTTTATCCTGCACTATTGAAGGCATATTAAATTTGTGCGGATGTATGTAACATGCAAACGGTGTTGAGATAAGCTCCTCTCTTATTATACATCAACCTCTTATTATACTAATTAAAAAATTTTCAATTTTAATGTTTGTCAACAAAAATTGGTGCAAAGTAGGGTTTTAGCAGATCAGAGGAATGCGAAAAAATGCGATGAAAAATAAGAGGTAGTTTTTTCGCATGAAATGTTGCTATAATAATACAAGCTGTGGCGGTAAAATCCAACTTTTAATGTCTTATCATGAAAACTGGAGTAAAATACGGCCAGTATGATGAATGTTTATATAATGTGCTATTATTTAAATATTCTCATAAAAAGTAAGGCTTCACATCATAAGAGAATTTAAAAGGCGTGATAATTTTTCGTGAAATACCCGTACAAAGTTTCAAATTTCAGCTTTATACATGCAATGTGTGGTATTTTAACGATATCTACAGCTGTAGAATATAAAGGCGATGTAGAATCCTTTTTCCTGGCTACGCCGGACGGATATGGCAAATAAAATAACCAAATGAAAAACATATTCATGCTAATTTATCTACACTGGCAGAAATATTTTAAGCAAAATTAGATCCAAACCTTTTTTGAAAACCTATAAGTGCCTCACACGATAAAGGTCGTTGTTTATTTATTTATTTTGGATGTTGAGTTAAGGTGGACTAAGCCAATAACATTTGTGGCTTATACGTCCAGATAATAAACGGTAGAATTTATTTGCAAGAAATGTATATAAAACACAAAAAAAAAGAAAAAAATTTGCGGTCATGACATCTAAAGCCGACATATTAAGTGTAATTGAGATTGTTGAGTTTTACTTATTTAAAACAAATTAAGTGTCGAATTTAATAGATTCTTCGAAGTAAATCTTATATTAAATAATATTAAAAATTAGGAGAAATAAGGAGAAATATTCGCGGCTATAAATTTCTTTATTCGCGGTTTTTGAGAATGTAAACAAACAGAATGAAAGGAATCTTATTACTCAATGAATAAAGTATTGTTGCGAAAATCCCAAATCTAGTTCATTTCAGCTAAGTAATTTCCACAAATAACAAATTGCCTAAAGAGGGAAAAACTAAATGCACATTCGCATGCAATTAAATTGATTTTTTTTATATATTTGATTTATTTTTTATTTTGTCACCCAGTAACGTATCCCCTATAATCCCATATAAATTACCACTCCGTGTTCGCGGTTTCTGTATTCGCGGCACTTTTATGGAACATATCCCTCGCGATTAAGGAGCTTTTACTGTATATAATAGGGGAATTAGGATTAGAAGAAAAAAAGAGGCATGTCCGCAACCAGCAGGGACGCACGCTCGCAGTCATTACAGAAGCAAATTGCAAATGAACCCCTAAACCATCGTAAACCGGCAAAAGCTTGGAAATTGATACAGTAAACAATAATTAGTTTTTGAATTATAATTGGATATTAAGGTTAAAAGTTAGTTTAAATACGACATAGGCAAATCGCTCATATTAAGCAAAGTTGTTTTGATAGACTATCAAGAATCGGGATATTAAGTAATATACATCATGATGAAGTTAAACCGAAGCTTGGATGATCTGTTATGGAGACAGGATGTCATCCATTTCACTAAATACAAAGAGAAAGCAGAGGCCTGGAGTTTGAAGATCAATAAGTTATGGTTAACTAAGTCAAACGTTTTACTAAAATCAGTATCTACGACATCCGTGGGAGAGCCACTAAAAAAAGCCGTGAAAACAAGGCAAGTAAACTCTAAGAGATTCGTGGCAGTAGATCTTCCTTTCCGAAAGTCCTGCTGGAATGAAGAAACATAAGATTTAATAGCAAACGCTAGATGCTGAGTAACATTTCGCTCCAACAACTTAGGTAAGACTATCAATTTTGTGATGCCTATATAGTTCTCAACGTGTCTATTTCCAAATTTGGGAAACGGAATAAGTAAGCTACTCTTCCAACACAAAGGAAAACATCTGATTTCGAGGACTGGTTAATGATCATTAAAAAAACACCACTTAGTTCGACGGAATATGTTTTAAGTATACATGATGGAATCCCATCTGGACTAGGCGTAGAATGACATTTTAGAGATCGTAAATTATCTGAAACATCATTTTCTAAAATGAACAAGTTAGGAATCCAAACTGAGCTAGATAACAGATACGCATATTTCACAGCAAAAAAATTTCGTCGGAAGTATTTAGCAAAGGAATTCGAGTCTTCAATATCATCAGAAGACTGAGAGCCGTTGGAAGAAACATACGAGAGATATACATAGATATTTTTCTTTTGGACTTGACGAACTTAAAATAATATCTAGGATTAACAAGCACTGAGGATTTCATCAAATGAAAGTTTCTGCAATAATATTGGTGGTTGACGTAATTAAGTCTATGCTTTGATGCAGAATAGGCACAATGGTCGTAGGCAGAATCTCTCTTCATAAGTTTTTTTATAAGCTTGTTTTTCCTATATCTGTGTCTTTTTAACTACACTGTACACTGTACACTGTCAAAGGTTTTTTGGGAGGCAAACCTGATTGATTATTTGTCATAAGTTTGATAATATTATATCCAAATTGACATTCTTGGAAGTTTTTCTCATAATGCCCACGAGGAGTTAGACGGTCATTTAAAATTCTAGCAAGAAATCGAAGAGATTTCACTCTATTAACTTTACATCTTTTGATAAAGAGCCTAATCTCGCGTTTCGTAATATTATGAGTTAGAATAATTTTCACAGTTTTCAAGAAATCGATTAGTCTCTTATTAACCACGGGATTAATAATCTTTCTGAATACAGATATTAGCGAAATGGGTCTAAAGTTGCTTAAATCATTTAAGTTTGTGACTGGTTTAGAAATGGGTACAACTTTGATGCATCGCAAATGTAAGGCTATAAAGTTAATGGACTAGCAGTCATTAATTGACACAACAGTTAAGCTTTCTCTAGACAGTGCTCTGGCCGTATCACCCATCAGAACCTGCAGCGATAGCTGTCTTTCGGGATTGTAAAGCATACATTAATTCAGGCAATGAGGAGAGTGTATTATTGAGACTACTAAAAGAAATTGAAGGTGTTGTAATGTGATCGACAATTTGAATATAGCTCTTGAGCACATCTAAGTATCTTTTATTATCATGCTCGTTCCATATAGCACAACTATTTAATTTGTGACTGAAATATCGAAGACTATTGATACAAATCCAGAAAAATCTACTGGTCATGCCACTGCAGCACATTGTTTATAGTTCGCGTTTAGTGATTTGATTTTCTTTGATTAATGTAACAAATTCATATTTCGTACTCTTTCCTCTGAGATGTCAATACATTTACACTTTAACGGCCACTCTGTTTATTTTAGAGAGTAAGAGAACTTATGCTTCTCCAGTTTTTTCAAAGTATTAGTTGAAGAAAAAAAGAAACAAGCTTTTTAAATCATTTAAACAGATAAGCGCTTTTTTGAAGAGGTTAACAAATTTTTATTTTTAAAACACATACACATATATATATATATATGTTGAAATTTTCTAAATATTATACACGTACTCCAATAATTGTCAAAAACATATGTAAAGCAGTATCTTGAAAATTTAAGCTCTTTGCGAGCAATGTTGTATAAATGCCAATTAAACCAATTAAAACGTGATTTATTGTATTCACTAAAGATTGAATTTGTTGCCAATTTATCTCCGTATTGGGATTATTGGCAATCGCGGTTTCCATTTCAAATAAACAAGAAGGTTTTTAAGGTTTATTTAAAAATTAGATGAAAGTGAATTTAGTCCTCTACGTTATAATTTCAAAGCAATCACTAAATTAAATTTTCATTGAGTGCAAAAATATATACCTACGTCAGATATATGAAATCGTAGCTTTGCCCGAAACATTGCCGTTTAAGAGAAAAGTAAAAGAGAAAGTTCACTTTAATGCAGTCTCTCTTAAATTATACGTTTATGTGTGCAACTATTAAAAGAAAAAGATTGGTTTCTTTCCTTTTTTTTTCTTTTTCTACACGAAACTTTATTGTGAAGCGTTAAAAATTAAAAATATAATTCTTTTAGATTTTATAAAAAGCCTTTTGGTAATCTACGATGCTATTGTGTTCAAATTACATTATTCGACGAGGTTGTATTTTTTTATTTTATTTATTTTTATTTTACTTATACAAGAAACTCATCTAAAACAAATTGACAGTCGAGTTCAATTGGCTGTTAAAGTAAATCTTAAATTAATTAATATTAAAGCTTAGTATAAGTATAATAAAACAAATAAGAAGGAAAAAAAAAAAAAGAAAATAAGTATATACACAACCAGCATAGAGCCACACCTACAACCATTAAAGCAACAGTGCTTAATACGTGCGATTTGCCTATGTCGTATTTAAACTAACTTTTAGCCTTAATATCTAATTATAATTCAAAAATTAATTATCGTTTACTGTATCAATTTCGAAGCTTTTGCCTGTTTGCGATGGTTTAGGGTTCATTTGCAATTTGGTCCTGCGGGTGTGGGTCCGTGCTAGTTGTGGACATGGTTTTTTCTTGTTTTCCTTCTTATTTGTTTTATTGTACTTATACTAAGTTCTATTATTAATTATTATAAGTTTTGCTTTAAGTACCAATTGAACTCGACTGTTATTTGTTTAGTTGAGTTTCATGTAGAAGTAGAATTAAAATAAATAAATAAATAGGTATATCCAAACAGATGTACAGCCTTTTCGTAATGTAAGGATCATCAAGCTCTTTGGAGCACCTCTTTATAAAACCAAGCGTGGACCTAGCTTTGTTTAACGAGAGCTCAATATGCAAGTTAAAAAGTAATCTATGACCTAAATTTGTGAACGTATACACGTCCTTCAACTTATGCGAATCAATGAAACACTGAGTAATGAATGACTTCCTTCTTGAGAAAGAAAACTTCTTACAATACTCTAGATTTAATTGCAGAAGATTTAAAGAGCACCATCCAACCAAATTATTTAATTCACTTTGTAGCTGATGTGATTGTGATTCTACAGAGAAGGAAGAAAACAGTTTCACATCATCAGCATACATTAAGGTCTGACTGGAATTAATCACCGTTGGAAGATCGTTAATGTATAAACTAAATAAAATGGGACCTAAGTGGCTGTCTTGAGGTACGCCAGACGTCACGGGGAATTCGTCCGCGGTGATGAAGACCCTGAAGGATCTATTGTGCAGATAAGAGCCTATCCATTTCACTAAATAGAAAGGGAAGCCAGAGACCTGGAGTATGAAGATCAATGAATTATGGAAACTAAATCAAACGCTTTGTTAAAATCAGAGTATATTACATCTGTGCGAGAGCCACTAGAAAAAGCCTTAAAAACATGACAAATAAACTCTAACAAATTGGTGACCGTAGATCGCCCTTTTCGAAAGCCATGCTGGTGTGGAGAAATATACGAATTAATGGCAAAGGTCAAATGCTGAGTCATAATTCACTCAAACAGCTTAGGCAAGACACTCAACTTGGCTATGCCTATGTAGTTCTTAACAAGTTGTCTACTTCCACTTTTGTGAATAGGAATAAGGAAACTACTCTTCCAACACAAAGGCAAAACACCTAAAATCAAAATCTGGTTAAAAATCTTAGAGATACCACCATATAACTCGACAGCGCAAGATTTAAATGCACATGATAGAATTCCATCAGGTTCAGGCGAACAACTATATTTTAGAGAGCTCAAGCCTTTAAAAACGTCATCTTCAGCAATAACCAAATTAGGAATTGAAACCAAGTTAGTTATAGGATATGGGTAGTTTGCGGATAAATCAGAATTAGCAGTCGAAAAGTTCCATCGGAAATACTCAGTCAACAGATTTGAGATTTCAAAATCATAATCTGGATAACTTTACTATTGCGAATGTTACATCCAAACTTTCCTGCAGAAACTTTCAAAACTGCAAAAAGTGAAATAAGCAGCAGACATCTGATGAAGCCTAGTTAATTAAATAAAATATGAAATTTCAAAATAGACGTTGTCGAGAGCTTGACGTTGGAATCTCTTTTGCTAGGAATAATGTTTTACAAATTATAACAAATGGCACTTTTGGCCACACGCATCTCACTACCAGTTGCTTTTGCAGAGGAAGGTTCATAAACCAATACCAATACCTCGTTGACAGCTATTTTTCTACAATCCGGATATATATTTTTAAAATTTAAGTCGTTTATTTTTTTCGATTCTCATCAAAATTGATTTTTGTGTTCATGGAAAAATACACAATTGTGTAGCGTATTTCGCGCATTACGTAGAATTTGTGATGAACATGATCGACCCGCACAACTCACTATGCTTCATGTAAATCAAGAATTCGGATCAATTGGTAGCGTAAAAAATTGCCATTACAATCAACGCCAATGGAGTACGCTTTAAAAGCATGATTACTGTTTTTGTTTTAGTCTGAATTAGATGATTTCGACTTGAACGATATTCAGTTCTAACAAGACGGTCTGGTGATGCAATCAAATCTATTGAGAGAAAAATTCAACTTCAAGGCCTATATTTCATAAATGAATTGATCAAAAGTTATAACTTGACTGGACTTTTTCTTTAGGGTCACCCTCCTCAATGAACTTAATATAACATTATTCGCCTTATTGATTAACTAACTGCAAAATTGTATGGAAAGGCTAAAGATTGGTATTTCCGTATCAAATTTTTACAAAAATCCAAAGGCGGTTATTTACATTAAATAATTTTTAAATAAAAATGTCACGAAGTGATACAGAAAAAAGAAAAAATCTCATATTGACATACAGCTCTTATGTGGTCCTTTTGTTTATGCGAAGAAGGAAATGGTTTTTTCTAAACTTTGTTGTCTTTTTTAGTTGAATTTAGAATTAAGGTTAATATTCGTTATATTGCTACAATCAGAAAATGTTATGCTTCGGTCTAAATAATAATAAGAATAAATTTTTTTTTTCAGATGAAGATTCCAATTTTCCGGCTAGTGAGTTAAATACTCACGGACCTACAGTACAGGGTTGGCGTAGCGCTCTCGGCAGTTCTTTGATACCACACGATATAATCTTAAGATTTCAGACGCCAGCCAAAGTATGCCGAATACAACTGCTAGCCCATCAATATCTAATACGTAAGCCTTTCAAAAAACAGAGAACAAAATTTGCGATTTACATTTAATTTGTTTTTAAATCCCCAAGCTGAGAAGGTCGAATTGTGGCTACATTATTCACCGAAAAGTATACCAAGTACTCCATCATCGCAATGTTTTGATTTTTTGGGCTTTGTTGCTTTAGCCGATAACGCGGCCACTAATTATAAATCCCGCGAACTGCAAAGTGTTGCGGTTAATCCTCGCAAAGGTACCCATTTGAAGCTTCGACTGAGTGGACCTCATGTGAATATCCACAATACTGAAGGACAGATTGCTTTAATAGCCGTCAACGTTTTAGGTGAAGATTTGGTATCTTCAAGTAACAGCCGAGAAAATGAGGAAGAGCAAAGTGTAGCAGATGTTGATGGTGGGGATGGTAGTTCTGCTGTTTCTGAGCCAATTCTGTTGTCGATGTGTGATGATTTATTGTTTTCAATGTATGTAGAAGAGTCCATTGCAGAAATAGTACGTGAAATGGAGGAACGCAAAGCAAAGGCTGTAATAACGGAGCGTTTCGAATACGCTCGCAAGTTGAAATTGTGTATGAGTGCTTTACGCACAGCTGGTGAACGATTAGGGCGCTACGCTTTGGCAAAAAGGCAGGCAGTGCAACAGGAAGATTTCACTACCGCTAAATTGCGTAAAGAACAAATCGAAATGTACAAAAGTGCCGTTTTTAAATATCTTATGTGCGAAGATTTACTGGAGAAAAATTGCGAACCATTGCCCTCAAATGATATGACTTGTGAAGTATATGCCTCAAAGCTAAATTTACCGCCAGCGCCTAGTTTGCAAGAAGTAGCTCAAGCCTTGTCAGAGGCTCACTTATCCGCCACCATGAGTCCCAAAAGTTTTTATGATGATAAATCCTCAACAGATGGTGGCAGTTCTACGGGAGCCGGTAATATTTCTTATTTGGCTGCTAATCATTCGCGTAGTCTAAGCGACCAAATGTGCACTCTATCCGTAGCCGCTTTACGGAAATCGCATGATGATATACCCATGTCTCCTAAACCAAACGTGCGTCGTAGTCCCAGCCGTCATAGCTCTCCTATGTCCAGCCACCAAGGTTCATTGAGGAGACGAAATAAAAGTGCTCCTCGAAATTCCTACGAAGAGTATGAAGATCGCGCTATACCCACCTTAAGGCAGTAAGTATTGCTGCTTTGCAGTGCATCTTACGTCTAGAGTTTAGTGTGTGTTAATGTTTTTTCTGACAATTCTCTACATCATATATAGTCTGATGTTTAGATTTCTCCGGATACTCGAAAGAATAATCAACACTATGCATATATTTACCTTTGGATATCTATATATGTTATAAACGCATATTATATTTTTTAATGCATGACAAATCGTTATAGATTCAGTTATGTTAACTTTAGTTTTCTTATTGTTTTTCGGTTGTTTTTCACTTCCACTCACGTACTCACTCACTATCAACAATTTGATGTTTAAATGTATAAAAAATAAACAAAAAATATCTGTAAAATAAAAACAAAAAAAAAAACTATGTGCAGTTCCAATACTAATGAATTTTTAAGAGAGTGTCAAGGTACAGCTCTGCTGGAAGCCGATCCTAATCGGGGCCGTTCACGTCTTAATGATCGTGAACGTCGTCAAGCGGCTTTACCTATAATAGTTTTCGGTAATGATTTGGTAAGTAAGAATAATGGATCTGTGCAAAAGGAAGTGGTTTCTACTTGTCTCCTCCTATTTTATAAGAGGGAATGTAAAATGCAAAATGTTAGTGGCACGTAATACGTGCGCTTCTAATTAAAAGAAATGTAAGGAAGTCGGGTTAATCAAAATTATTGTCGACAACGTTTAGTTACCCAGCTATATAATGAAAATAATTACATATGTGCAGCGTGGGAAGTTAGAAGTAATGAAACATTAGTGAACTGACTGGAAATGAATATAGGCAATCATTAATACATAGATGAAAAAGTTCAAGATTTCAATGCAAGAAATACCAAAATTTTTATACTTCAGTACCCTTACTATTGGCGTAAAACGACATCGTTGAAATATAATTCTGTTACAAGAGCATATAAGAGTTCCTCTTCAACCTTGTGTTGACTATTATGCAAGAAACCAATGCCTTAATTATTTTTAAATTTACCTTAACTCTTAATAACATATCCACTTTAACAGGTTGAACAATATTACTCAAGACAATTTCAAGATCGTGAAGATGGTTTAATACGTTTGCGAAATTTCTTAAAGGGTCATGAGACGGAAATAGCAAATCAACCAAATTCGAATAATGAAAACACAGCTGGTCCAAACAAGGTTGCGAGAAGCGCTGCCTTTCTATTACATCGAGCGGTACGAGATGCTGTTTATTCAGTGTTCAACCAAGCCACAGAAACTGTACGTGTATTATTTTTGGAATACGTGCCCACTAGAGTTTCTACAAGTGAAGTGGCGCGTTGCGTGGATCGTTTACTGCCAGAGTTGTTAGCAAAATCCGGAGACCCTTCGGCTCGAATTCATACCCTCGCACAACATACTATTTTGAGCATAGCCTCGTGTTCTGACGTAGCCGAACAACACTTGGTTGCCCCGGCTTTATCTAGGACCGTTAGTTCGGGTACACATCCTCGTTTAGCTTTAAGTCGTATGCAAATGTTGGAACAACTAATTTTAAGCCAAGGCATTAGTACTGATAAACACAGCGGGCTAACATGTCGTGTGCTTTCGGAATGCGGTTGTTCAGGTTTGCACCATCCAGCGGAACCTGTTCGTAAAGTGGCTGAACGTATACTGTTGCTAGTATATAAAGTGAACCCACGCTTAGTGCGCAAACAGTTGCCGCCAGATGATGATATAACGCGCCGTAATTTATTATATCGTCAGCTGTTTACGGAATTTGATAAATTGGATTTGGAACGTAAGCAGGAAATGATGCTGGAAGCTAATAAGTATTAAGAATTTAAACGAGACAAGTGGTATTCAATTCAAGCCATTTATTTTTTTTCCTGTAGTGGCACAACTGGAGAGCTGCAACTAGTCGGAACATCGAGTGGCAATTCTGGAGGTGGTATAGGCAGTCGTAGTAGTCCTTATGGCACAAAGTCTCCTGATTCGCAATCAAGTCCGATGAGGCGCTCTGAGACTCGCATATTGAAAAGCAAAAGTGGACAATCTTTAGTAGGCAATGTGAATCCCCACTGCGGTAATGGTTTCACCTCTACTGCTCGTGATATGCACAGTAAACACAATGGCAAACAACAGTATAATGAACAAGTTAAACGTTCTATGATATCAGCTTGCAGTTCTAGAAAGGGTTCCAATTCGAATTCAAATTCGGAATCTTTCGATGAAGCTTCTGATATTATGTAAGAAAATGAAAAAGGAAATAAGAAAGAAGAAAAATTAATATAAGATTTCAATTCTGCTTTGCAAACAGACGTTGTCCATTTTGTGATTGGTCCTGCCAAAATGGAGATCAATCACAATTGGACCGACACTATTGGAAGACTTGCCCTTTTCTAACAAAATGCCCGCAGTGCAGTCAAGTCTTGGAAGTAGCTGCTTTAAATTACCATTTGACAAGTAAGTAAAATTGCAGGGTGAATTTGAAATCTTTTAAGCTTTAGCACTTTTTTAGAAGAATGTGAAGCCAAGGACAACTATATAATGTGTGAACGCTGTACGGAATCAGTGCATAAGCAACTTTATGATTTACATCAAATGGAAGACTACTGTAGGGGTGAGTTTGAGTAGCAACTATTGAAATCTCTATTTGATTAGCAAGGATACTCTTCTTTTTCTTAATTCTATATAAATTCATACAAATCCATTTCATATGACTGATTTAATTTTTGTAGAACTGAAGACTGGTGCTGCTCGCTGCCCTCTTTGTCACGATGATGTTCACCTTCCTTTAGATGGTGGCTGGAAATTACACCTACTCAGTGCTACTGGTTGTCCCGGAAATACACGAAGACGTTTGAAAAAATCAACTTAAAGTCTGGCAATAACAAAAACGAAAGTTTGTGTTGAAATCACTTATTCTTAATGCTCATTTCATGAGATGCAAAGAATTTCGTAGATAATAATGGACGGCTTGATCTCGCGAACATTTGTATACCAAAACCTAAAAGGCCTTTTCTTGTTAAAACCGCAACCAAAGTTACATATTAATCAAAATCCGAAACAACAACAAAAAACCATTAACAACAGTAACTATTAATGTTAACCTCATTTTAAAACAATTTTTAGGAATGAACGCAGAACTCGATAAACAAGATCCTGTCATATGTTACAAATAAATAAAATTTTGTGAAATTCCTTTTTTTGGACATATATAGAGCTTCAAATAGTTGCAACAAATAATAACTGATTATAAGTACATACATAAACTTTTGCTAAACTAAAGAATTGTTTTATATGTTTTTACAATTATAAACTTCATTTTCCTTTGTTTGGGCATATACATACACAAACGAGAAAAAAGGCATAAAATCAAAAGAACAAATGGCCCTTTATGTTCCTTAATTTTTAAATATATTCCTAAGTTATACAGAGTGCAATTAATTATTTTAAAAAAATATGTAATTTTTGACAAAAGAAAAAGAAAATGATTATAATTTAATTAATTTTTTTTTAGCTAAACAATGCATATATAAAAGGTCCGTTAATTAATCACACCCATCCAATTATCATACGTTAAAATAAGAATACAAATATAAATTTTAGTTCAATTCAATAAAAGAATTATGTGAAATCAAAAATAAGTAAGTATAGATGAAAGAATACGACAGTTGCCGCTTTTCTTTTGTGGGTTGCAGTGGATGGAGTCAAAGTCAGGTCTAATAATCAGCGGACATCAAACTTATTGCTATGCTTGAAGCAATGCATCGTGACGCTATAACGGCTAAAATATGTTATATGGCATAGGCAAATACGACGTCCTACCAAAAAGTCATAAACTGAATTTTATATAAATTTTATATAAATATAGAGAAAGAAAAAGCAGGCAGTAAAGTGGCTGCTAATCAACAAGTACACACAAACCTTTTTGCCATAGTATATATTCTACATGCCTATAAAATTAGATTTACAGTTCCATAAAAAAGGTTCAACAAATATGCATCAATGGCCACATTTGCTTTATATTGTTCGTTTAACAATGTTATTAATAAAATGCAAAAATTACTTACTTAATTTCAATTCTTAAAAGGAGTAACAGATGGTTCTCGAGCACTTCTGCAATATTTGCGAGAGCGGGTTTGCATTCTTGACACAATTGAGACAACACGTCAGGAGACGTATAGACGGAACCTAGTCGGGATGGCGAACAGATGCCATCTCTGTGACCGTACGCAGGCCTTAGACAGCACAGGAGGCCCGTCCAATATAATCAACGTATATTTTCGAAGAGAATATTAAAAGTTTGCAATAATTAAACACATACAAAACTGGAACCTCCACTTTTCTGACGCATTATATTCAAAAAGTATGATAACATATTTTTGTCTAGGAAAAAGCTGGAAAAAGGAAAATAATTAATACATAATTATAAATAGCGAAGTTATTAAGCGCTGCTTACTCGAAAACCGAACTGTCATGTTGATCACCCCATATTAAAATTTCCGATATACTTCTTCTTAACGATTATACCAGCAAACCCCAATTACTCTCGGATACCGTTGTATTTTTTCTAAAATACTATATAAATATTATATAAATACGTTCCAACGACAAACGGTTTTTTGGTTTATTCCAAGCGCCACCGAACCAACTCCGACTACGAGACATTTTTTTCTCAAGTTTTTGAGCAATTTTCACTATTTTTTTTTTTTTTTTGTATTAATATCGTTTCAATTTTTCCGCCTTTCAACCACAAATGCAATTTTATAATTTTAATCCGAAAACGTTCTTCAAATTACAGCTTTTTTACTTGATTTTAATAATTGCGCTTATTCAAAAAAAAAAAATTTTTACATCTTTTCCTAAATAATTTAATATTTTTTCTTGAGAAAACAGCTGATTATGGTATTGCGCAACCAAATGGTTGTTTATAAATTAAGCGTGAAATGGAACGCAACCAAATGTTTTATAAATTAGGCGTGAAACGAGTCGTAACCAAATGGTTGTTTGTAAATTAAGCGTGAAACGGGACGCAACCAAATGGTTGTTTAGATAGACATCATAAGTTATTTATATAAATGCATACGAAAGTATCTATGCCATCTTTATCGATGGTTCCTTGTATCCGTTATTTTTCAATTTCAAACTTTATAAACTCATCACACAAATGTTTCACAGTTCCCGTTTTATTGTTAGAGCAGTATTATCAAATGTGTCATTTTCTACATATCAGGCTCGCTTTCATTAATGTGCGGCTTTTTGTTTTGTTTTTTTTCTCATTTTATTATCATTCATAACAGACGCATGCAAATTACATATATCGTTTACAGTTTTTCATATGTTTTACTTTATGTGGAATTGTTATTTCTTTTATTTTACTCGTGTATATTATGCACACATCCACGTGTATCTATTTTGCATATAAATGCAGCGGAATGTCTTCACTTTTATAGATTATCTTTAGTTATAAAAAAAACAAAAAAAAACATAAGCCCAATAAAAGAGAATTCCTTAAGCCTTTAAGGACTGACTTTAGTTTAGTAGAGTTTTATAAGACTTATAAAGGTTTTATAAAATAAAGAGAATTCTTACATTAAAATGAAAAAAAGTCATGTATTTTCCAACCGATGGTTAAGACGGTAATGAAATGGAAAACATCGTTAAGGAAACTGGATCAACAAATCATTTGAAGGATTGGACAGGAGATAGGAGGGTAAACGCAAAAGATATACTAGTAAGGCAGAAAGAAGGCTAAAAAGAATGCCAAATACAGGTGAAAACATACCATGGAGGGGATGAAGGGAGACAGATGGAAAAGGGAGAAAGAGAAAAGGAACCTTTCTTCCTTTTTACACGATTTTTTTTTTTTTTCAAGAACGGCAACTCCGTTCAAGCGCTGTGGTCATATTTTTCTCTTTGTGAAAAAATTTTTGCAATTTATTCTTCTATTTAATTTCTTTATTGCGTTATACGTTTTTAAAAGTTTTCAAACTTATTCAAATTTATTGAACTTTTTGTGTGTTTATTGCGAAAAGTGTTCATCGCGGATACCGTACGTGTTTTCCTTTAAATACATTAAAAAAAAAAAAAAAATTAAAAACATTGACATTTTATTCAGTAGTTTCCCAAACTTTTCAAATGAGTGGTTATTTCACAAATAATAAACAATAGACAACAATAAGGCATAATAGCCCCGGGGCCGCCAGATAAAAACTCGAATAGATTTCATCTATTAGGTGACACATCCCCCCAAAGAAAAAAAAGTAAAAATTCCGATTTTCCGGTGTTGCCAATCAGTGATATAACTCCTATTGATAAAAAATATATTGTTATTTCTTCAACCGATGCTAGAATAACAATTCCCCAAATTAGCCCTTTTGCTATAAAAAAAGCTCTAGATAGCACTACAACATACATCGACTCCATCTCGATTCTACGCGATGGGAATTTACTGGTCCTCGCTGGGAACCCGCGCGCAACCGAAAAACTCATAAAGACCAAATCTTTAGCTAACCTATGTGCTATTTCAGCTAAACTACATGAGAAACTTAACTCGGTTCGAGGCGTAATTTATGCCCCTTGCTTAAAGCATGTGCCGGAAGATGAAATTGTTCGCGAAATGGGCATTCAAGGAGTGACTGAAG